CCCCCCCCCGCCCGCCTGCTCTATCCTCAGCTCACATCTGTTTGTTGTGAAACCCGAGCGCTCGCTCATGTGACCCGCCCCTCCCCCGGCCGGGCGGGCCAGCTGGGGAGGCCGCGCCCGCCGGGTTTTTCCAGGGTGATGACGAGCAGGTTGCTCGAGGCCCGAGGCCCGGAGACCGGCTGCCGCCCCTGGCCCGGGCCTCCCAGGGGACTAGCGAGAGCGCGGGGGGCTCGGCGCTGGTCCCCAGGGCGGACGCCCTAACGCCCGCGTGTCCCCCCAGGCACCCGGGTGTACAGCCCCCCCGAGTGGATCCGCTACCACCGTTACCACGGGCGCTCGGCCACGGTGTGGTCTCTGGGCGTGCTGCTCTACGATATGGTGTGTGGGGACATCCCCTTCGAGCAGGACGAGGAGATCCTCCGAGGCCGCCTTTTTTTCCGGAGGAGGGTCTCCCCAGGTGCGTGGTGGGTGCGGGGGCTGGAGCTGGGAGCCCAGGGGCCTAGGAGCCAAGGAGCTGACCCCACGCCCTCCTCTCCGCAGAGTGTCAGCAGCTCATTCAGTGGTGTCTGTCCCTGCGGCCCTCGGAGCGGCCCTCGCTGGACCAGATCGCTGCGCACCCCTGGATGCTGGGGGCCGAGGGGGGCCCTGCGGAGAGCTGTGACCTGCGGCTCTGCGCTCTGGATGTGGACGACGGGGCCAGCACCACGTCCAGCAGTGAGAGCTTGTGAGGAGGAGCCCGGGCCTGGCTTGTGGGAGCCGGAGGGAGCGACCCCGCCTGGGCTGTTTCTTGCAAAAGCAGTGACCTCTGACTCCCGGTGACCTTTGCCTTTGGCACCGGGCTGTTTTCTTTGCTTTGAGTGCCTTTTCGAACGCTGCTCTCACGGGACTTGGTCTTCTCAAGCTCTGTCTGTCCAAAGACGCTCGGGTCGACGTGAGGTCCGGCCTGGGCCGGGCAGGTGCGCGACCCTGAGACTGTCCCTGTCCTGCGCTGCTCTGGGAGGCAGCCGTCCCGGCCCTCAGCGCCTCCCCGGTCGGACCATGTTGGACCAGGAGCATGTCCTGTGGCCTCATGTCACCGGGGGCTCGGGCTCCCTTGTGCCCACCCCCCGCTCCCGCCCGCCGCCGGTGTTCGTCCGGGCAGGTCTGTGCACAAGCAATGCAACGTCGAGGCTCGCTGCCTGAGCGCGCGCCTGCAGGCGGGGTGTGCGTGCGCGCGCACGTCTATTTATGGTCTGACCCTGAGGAGGGCTATTTATTGTTTAATTTATTTGGGGAGTTCCCTCCTGCCTGCGCCCCCGCCTTCTTCAGGCCCCGGAGTGGGGGGCGTGGCTGTGTGCGCGGACCCCAGGTCCTGATCCTACCTGCGTCTGTCGGAAGATGGACTTGTACAGTGGCTAATTTAAGGGGCGAGGGAGACTCTGTCCCCTGTGGCTCTATGCCTCTGGGGGAGCGGGGTGGGGGTGGGTTTTAAATTATTGACCTTGTACAGTCTGCTTGTTGGCTCTGGAGGCCGGGGGGTGGGGGGACAGAGTCTCAAGCCTTTAATTTATGGTAGTAGCTGTGTTTCTGTGATCCCGGTGTGCGTAGGCATCGAGGATGGGGGTTTCTTTCAGTTCAAAAGTGAGATGTCTGGAGATCATATTTTTTATACAGGTATTTCAATTAAATTGTTTTGTATATAACAGTTACTCTGTGTTTATTGGATAGGGTGGTCTGGTGAAAGGAGATTTGGGGAAGGGGTCCCTGGGCAGCCCCCTCCCTGCCTCCTGTGGGCAGGCAGCAGCATGACCAGGACCCAGGCTCTTCCCTCCCGGCCAGAGGGCCTGGCCTGTGGTGCTTGGCCTCCTTGCGGCCTTGTTGTCTACTCCTACGGCCCCAAGGACATTGCCACCCCTAGTCTGGAGGCTGTGTCTGGTGGTGGCCCCAAGGGGACCTCCTTGGCTTCTGTTCCCAGAGATGCCCAGCCAGAGGTGGGAAGAGGAGGTGGCCTTCGCTCAGGCCCCGCACGCAGAAGTGTACGGGGAGAGGGGTCCGCACTGTTCCGCAGATGGCTGGAAAGGGTTCTGAAGGACGAGTAGAAGTTTGCCGGGTGGAGGGGGCGTAAGGCATTCCTTGCACAGAGAACGGGTGGGTGGAGTCAGGTGGGGGGGCAAGTGCTGGGGGGTCAGGCCTTGGCCTGATAGTTGAAGGGCAAGGTTGTGGGCGGAAGCCACGGCCAGGTCCAGGTGTGGAAACGTGGCCCAACCACGTTCCTGCCGCCCTGACGGGTCCAGCCTGCTCTGGCTCCTCCCACACCCCTGTCCTAGGACAGGGAGCCGGGGCAGCAGCCTTGGGCCACGTGGGCTGGAGTCCGGGGGTGCGGGGGGACACGCAGGGAGAGCGGAGGATAATGCTTGCAGCATCTGGGCCTCCGTACCCTCCTGTGGTGAGTGACTCACACGGCACTGTGATTCCCGGCTCCCCCACTTGCCAGCTGAGGGTGCCAGGCTGGTCTTATCACCGCCCCCTCGCCCTGCATTCACCCATCCTCATCTGTGCATCCATCCAGCTCATGGAGCTCGTGTTTGGGGGGGCCCCGAGTCAAGCCCCCGGCAGTGCCAAGACACCTCATCCTCAGGCGCCCAGTGCTTGTGGCTTGGGGACAAGGCACAGGTCTCTTGGACGTCCTGAGGAGGGCCAGTCCCTGGCACAGATGCAGCGACGATGCTCGGGAGGGCACAGGGTCATCGGGAGGGCACAGGGTCAGAGGCCTGTGCGTGTGCAAAGTCGGGAGGTGAGTGGGAGAGGCTTGCCCCGCACAGGGAGTGCTGGAGCCCCTGGGGCGCCCACACCAGGGGACGCTCCGTCCTCCACCACACGTGCAGAGGCTACCACCCACCCAAGCATGAGGCCTGAGTGTCCCTGAGTTCGCTCCTGGGATGGAGGGCACAGCACTGTGCTGAGCGTGGGAGATGCTGGCCTCCTCAGAGGCTCCTCAGCCCTGGGATCCCTGTCTGTCCGGTGATGCCGTGAAGGTGGGGCAGGCTCAGGCTGGCTGTGGGTGGGCAGCCCCGGGTGATGGCCACCGATGGGTTCGTGGGATGCAGATGCTGTGGCCGCGGGGCTTCTCCTGCCCCAGAGCTGGTGGATGCTGCTGAAGGGAAGCCCAGGTCTGTGTGTATCAGGGCAGTTGGGCAGGTGGACGTGGGCGGGGCCCAGGGGGTGGGCCCCATGTCAGGCAGGAGGTGGGGCCGGTACCTATGAGCCCGGGTGGAGGGCCCGCCCCATGGAGCCTGCCCCCCCAGGACAAGAGGGAGAAGACAGGGCGGATGGCAGAGAGGGTGACAGCTTGGCCACCCCCCACTCCCTCGGCCTAGCCCTGCGCCCCTCTGTCTCCATACTGACTGCATCAGCCTGGGTGCCCCCGAGCACCCAGGGCCATGGGACACTGCGGCCTGCCCAGTCCTGGGGCATCCCAAGCAAGGGCTCTCAGCCAGGTCGTGCTTGGGGAAACTGAGGCCTGAATGTCCGGGACCTCGTGTAGGTGCTGGAGTATGACTCTGGCCCCCACTGTGGTACCCTCACATGTCAGCAAGTGGCTGAGAGCCAGGCTGGAGACTCCCGTTGGCGTGGGGGCCTGCACCCGGGGCCCCAGCGGTGGGTGCGGGGCGCAGGCCACAGAAGAGGCAGAGGATGCAGCACCTGTGGGGGAGCTTTCCTGGCTGCAGGGGTACCCCTAGAGTAGATTCAGAGAATCCACCATGGGCAGAGCCCCAGGTCTGAGACACAGACAGAAGCCCAGAGCTGCAGCTGGGAGGCCCCGCCCTGTCCCACCCCTGCCACCTGACCCCCAGGCTGTCCACTCTGCGTCTGGGCGCTCCCACCCCCGGCTCCGAGACACAAAGCTGGAGCTCCGTCAGGATCCGAAGGGCCGACCTGCACCCTGGGGCCTGCCCTCGCCCCAGCCCCCACAGTCCACACAGGGCCTTCTCCTGGCTCCTGGGTGGGATTTGGTTGGGGGTGCTCAAGCCTCCCCTAATCCTGAGCCCCTCCCACCCTGGAGGGCAGCCTCCAGGGCTACAGCATGCCCCATCAGGGGCCAGGGGCCAGTGAGCCTATGCAAGCCCCAGGGCAGGGTGCTCACTTGGGCCTGGGACCTGTGGAGCCTGGGGTGGGCTGGTCTCTGACTCCCCATCCCCCATCTGCCACGGTCCCACTCCTAGGTGCTGGGGGTCTACAGAGGCTGAGGGGCTAGGGAGCTGCCATGGGCCCCTCACCCCTGAGTGGACAGCACTTTGCAGTCCCTGGTATCCGCCGGACCCCCTCTGCTGGGGAAGGGTCTCATCTGCTCATCAGACCAGCGCTGCTGAGGAGCCTGGGGTTGGGGAGCCAGGAGAAGGGTGTCCTCTGACCCGGGGCCCCTTGGGGGTCTGTTGCCATGGGCAGGGCTCCACCCCCCTGAGGCTGGGATGGTGGCCATGTGGACGGCTTGGGGCTGGAGCAGAGGGTACAGTGGCCCCTGAAATGCTGGCCTGTCCACTCAGACTGGGCTGCCAGTTCTGCCCGGCCCCATGGCTCCCACTCTCCTCTGCTGGCCGGTGCCCAACCCACTCATCTTTCAATATCTTGGGTCCATTTACTATCAAGGCTCCTTTAGAGCCACTTGGTCGAGCTCTGCACAGCGTCCATCCTTCAGGGATGCCCCTTGGGGTTGCATGGAATCCAGAAATCATCATGGAAAGAACCAAAGTCCTGAACCGAATCCAGGTCCTGTCTTGGCCCCTCTGGCTCCTTCCCTCCTGGAGGACTATGCTGCGCCCCGTCTGCAGTCCGAGCTTCGATTGGTTTGCTCCTGGCCAGGCCCTCGGGGCACGGGTGGGTGCTGGCTGTGCCCACGAGGTGGGGGTGCGGCATCCAGGCCCCTCTCCCACTGGCCTGAGATCCCTGGCTTCTGGGAAGAGCGAGGCCGGACTCAGATCCAGAACAACTCTGCGGCTGTTGGAGTCTCAAGTTTCTTTTCTCCAGTGCAGTCCCCTGAAACGAAACCTTGGCATGGCTTCAGTGCCAAAGCTTCACAGAAAAGGGAAGTGGTCCCTGGCAGGACCCCAGGAGCCCCACCTGCCCCTCCCGGGCATACAGAACCCAGCTGGCCAGGGAGTCCCCGGGCTCGTGAAGTCCGTGCAAGAAGGAAGTGTGATGCGGGCCATGGAGGCAGCTCCCGAGGCGGGCAGTGGAGGCCTGGATGAGGGGCTTGGGGACCTCCACACCGCACGGGGCCCCAAGAGGAGCAGGACAGGGCTGCACCCCCGCCCACTGGAGGCACCCTGGGGCCCTCTGGAGAAGGCCTCTGGAGGGGCACTGTATGGGTAGTGATGGGCACGCCTGGGCCGGAAGTTGCTAGCAAGCTGTAAGGAGGGTGTGAGCCAGGCCTGGCACTTGTCCATGGAGCTGAGGGATGGCCAGGAGCTCACTGGGCCCCCAATCATCTGCCCCCTGGCTGTGGCCGAGGGGTGTGGGACCCAAGTGGAATTGCTAGCCCTGGGGTTTCTCAGTGGGCCCTTTCCCTCTCCAGAGGCCTCTGATTAGGGGGGTGGGGGGGTGCCTGAGCCTCCAGCACATGACTTCCAGGCCAGCGGCTTTCCAGGCAGCCTTGGCAAAACCCCGAGCTTTGATTACACAACTGACCCCTGGAGTTCCTGGCAGTCAGGCCTGCCGAGCAGGGTGGGGGCAGGGCCTGCCCCTCCAGCACCAGTCACTGTCCTCCTCTGGGCCCGGTCCCGGCAGGAAAACTCTTCCCTGGAGGCCGGGCCCCACATATTGGCCAGGTAGGGGGGGTGGGATGGGAGGTCCACTCCCGGATCAATGAATAGGGCCCTCCTTAGGGGGTGGGTCTCCCGTACCCAACACTGAATGAGCCAGGCGGAGGAAGCTGGGGCAGGTGCCCACCAAAGGTCAGAGACTCCAAGTGGGCCCACCTCACCCCAGGAGGAGGAGGAGGGTGACCTGGGGCGGGACAGCAAGGGGAGCTCCCTCTGATCTGGCCTCTGGCCCCTCGCACCTGTCCTTCCAGGAGGCTGCCTGTCCTGATCTGAGGCTCAGGCCCCAGGACAGGCAGGGAACCCCCCCCCCGACTCTATGTCATTGGTCCTGCCCACCTGCCGGGGAGGCCCCTCAGGCTGCCCTGTCCCGCCCCACCTGTGCTGCCCCTGAGCTGTGCTCCTTGGGCTCCTCACCCAAAAGCATTGTGCTCGGTGACCCGCACCCCACTGGCCACCTCGGCAGCAGGCAGGAGGGTGGGAGAGGAGAGGTGCTGGCGCCCAAGGCCGGGCCCAGCCCAGGGGCTATCTCCCCTTTCCCTTGTGGCCTGTGAGGCCTCCGCCAGGGCTGGCCCCCGAGGGTAAGAAGGTGCTGCCCCTGGCAGGCGGTGGGACCTCCCCGGATTGCAGATGCCCTTGGTCCTGGGACCCTGAGACCAGCAAGGGCTGGGAGACTCCACCTACTGGGCCAGGCCAGGCAGGAGCCAGGGATGCTGAACACTGGGTGCTGCCCCGGGTGGTGTGGTCCTGGACGCATGAGGATGCTTTGGGACCGTCCACTTCACCATCTGGGGGCGCTGGGGGTGAGGCGCATGCAGGGGGCCAGGAGCCCGGCGATTCAGGCCATGGCTCGGCCTGCCCTGCAGCTCCCACATGCTAGGGAGCACAC